CTCCGAAATGTCCACCTTCTTCCTCAACCAAGGATTCCCCAGTCCCATTGTCGACAGGGCCCTCAACCAGGTCCGACCCATCTCCCGCACTTCTGCCCTCACCCCTTCTCTTCCCTCCCGCAACAGCGATAGGGTTCCCCTTATTCTCACCTACCATCCCACCAGCATCCACATCCAGAAGATCATCAGACGCCATTTCCGCCACCTCCAGCAAGATGCCACCACTAGACACATATTCCCCTACCCTCCCTTGTCCGCTTTCCACAGGGACCGTTCCCTCCGGGACACCCTGGTCCACACTTCCTTCACCCCCAACACCGCCCCACAGCCCTACGGCACTTTCCCCTGTAACCGGCGAAGGTGCAACACCTGCCCATTTACCTCCTCCCTCCCCAGTATCCAAGGGCCCAAACATACCTTCCAGGTGAAGCAACATTTCACTTGCACTTCCCAGAATCTAGCCTACTGCATTCGCTGCTCACAATGTGTCTCCTCTACATTGGAGAAACGAAGCGTAGACTTGGCGACTGCTTCGCAGAACATCTACGTTTTGCTCGCAAAAAAGACCCTGAACTAGCTGTTGCCTGCCACTTCAACATGCCACCCTGTTCCCTGGTCAACATCTCTGTCTCTGGCTTGCTGCAGTGTTCCAATGAAGCCCAATGCAAGCTGGAGGAACAACACCTCATTTTCTGCTTGGGGACCCTACAGCCCTCCGGACTCAATATTGAGTTCAATAATTTTAGGGCCTAAACTCTCCCATGTCCCAACCCCCTAGCCCACACACCAGGGCTTGTTACCACATAGCCTGCCATTACACACCCCCTGTTGTTAGTCACTAACAGTCCCCATTAACAACTACTCACCTCCCAGCCTGATCGTTAGCAACTCCTTTGTCTGTCCAACTGTCTTTCTCTTTAGGCTCTATCCTATCATTTACTCCCCACCCCACCCACCTCCCTATTTTCTGCATATAAACTGACGTTTTCCCAGCCACCATTAGTTCTGAGGAAGGGTCACCGGACCCGAAACGTTAACTCTGTTTTCTCCTTCACAGATGCTGCCAGACCTGCTGAGCTTCTCCAGCAACATCGTTTTTGTTCCTGATTTACAGCATCCGCAGTTCTTTCGGTTTTTATTGTTAAAGCAGATTCTGACACAGTATGTTGAATGTCTCCAACATCTTTAATTCATTACCCCAGGTAGTAAATATTTCAAATCATTTATCACCTACTGAGTGATGCTATTACTCTGTTTCAATTCGTAATTGCTCTTAAACAACTATTTGAAAAGGTAATTGCTCATCTCAAACTCCAGGCTGATGCTGCTCCAGGATACTCCAGGCATTCACTGCTTCACCTTCCAAATATCTTGGATTTTTTTTTCAATTTGTTCATGGAATGTGCACATTGCTAGTTACCAGCATTTATTACACATCCCTAAATGCCCTGGAGAAGGTGGTGGTGAGGTGCTTTCTTGAACCACACAGAAACAAACATAGTGCTGTCCAGGATTTTGATCCAGTAAAGGTGATATAGTTCCAAGTCCAGATGATGTCTGACTCAGAGGATAATATGCAGGTGGTGGTGCATTAGCCTGTATCTGCTGTCCCTTCCTTTCAGGTGGTAAACGTTATGGGTTTGAAAAGTGGTGTTGAATGAGCCTTAGGTCAAAAATCACAAGACGCCAGGTTATAGAACAACAGGTTTGTTTGAAAACACAAGCTTTCAGAGTTTTGCTCCTTCTTCAGTGTTAGTGAGAGACGTGGCATCAGGTACAGAATTTATAAGTAAAAAATCAAAGGGTCATAGAACTGATGCAAATGCATTGAACAAACCTAAAATAGCTGTTGAATCTTTAATCAATTAGAAAGGAGATGCAGGTTTCAATCGATTAAAATGCAAATCCCAGAATTTTTTTCAAGTTACTGCCCCGAGATAACTAAAGGTTTTATCAGTATACCAGAGGTGACATATCAGGTCAGACAATGCATTTTAGGTGTGAGGCCTTGTTTAGAATCTGGGCCTGTGTTATATCTTGGAATCAGATTGGTTTTATTTCCAAAGTAGGAATTTATAAAATACCACATTGACTGTGCATAAATCGTGTGCTTTTTGAACAAAATAGAATGTCTTACAAATTACAAATCTGCAAAGGCAAATTCAACTCATAGATTTATATGTGTGCGCCTGTGTGTGTCTGTGTGAGGGAGAGAGAAAGTGTGACAGACTGTGACAGACACACACACACACACACCTACAGGGTGAATTCGCATTTGCAGATTTGTAATTTGTGATACATTCTATTTTGTTCAAAAAGCACACGATTTGTAGACAATGAGGCATTTTATAAATTCCTACTTTGGAAATAAAACCACTCTGACTCCAAGTAATACAGACCCAGATTCTAAACAAGGCCTCACACCTAAAATGCATTGTCTGACGTGATATGTCACCTCTGGTATACCGATTAAACATTTAGTTATCTAGGGCAGTGACTTGAAAGAAATTCTGGAATTTGCATTTTAATCAATTGAAACCTGCATCTCCTTTCTAACTAATTAAAGATTTAACAGCCATCTTAGGTTTGTTGATACAGGTCTATAATCTGGTGTCGTGTGATTTTTGACCTTGTCCACCCCAGTCCAACGCTGGCATCTCCACGGAATGAGCCTTAGTGGGTTGTTGTGCATCTTATAAATAATACTGTTGCCACTGTGCTTTGGTGATGATGGAAGGATAACCAGCAAAAGCATTATTAGGAAGAAATTGCTTCAACAATGTAATGTATCTGCCAACAACAGTGCAAACCTGTAATGTCAGGCTAGCAAGCCTACCTCGAAGCTGGAAGGTATGAGTTTTTAATTGATTGACAGGATGAAGGCATCGCTGGCCAGGCCAGCACTTATTGCCCATCCCTCATTACCCAGAGGGCAGTTAAGAGTCAACTGTGGGTCTAGAGTTCACATAGGCCAGATGGCAGTTTCCTTCCCTAAAGAACATGAGTGATCAAGTTGGGTTTTTCCTGACAATCGGCAATGGATTCATGGTTGTCATTTTACTGCATTCAAATGCTGTGGTCAAACCCAAGTCCCCAGACCATTACCTGGGGCTGTGAATGAACAGTCCAGCAATAATACCACTAGGCCATCGCCTCCCCATTTGAGTCCTACCGCAGGTCTTAATAGCCACGGAAGGTGCATTCATTATTTGGACACACAGGTTGAGTATCAAGTGCTCACCAATTCGGTTGTTTTTTGTTTGAAATTCCATTGAGTTAATTTTGCAATCACAGTTAAGAGGAGCTGGAAATGACAAAAATGCACTGAGCCAACTGGCCACAATTACTTTGCATTTGATTGTGGTGTGTCTCAATTTATTTGAATGATTATCATAAGATCTTACCTCAGTTTTGGCATTGCACCTAACAGCAAATAGGGAAAAGATATTCAGCAAGCAGCTTCAACAGAAAAAGGATGTGATTATTTAGGGATAAATGGTTACTCACTGATGCATAACATTACAGCCTTTATAAAAGCTCAAGATGAAAATAACCCATCTGTCAAACATGCCATATCGTATGAGAAGGAAGATGAAGATTTGCAAATGACAAGTCACGTCTAATAACTAGTTGAAGAAATAGCATATGATTATAAAGGAAATTCTGTGGATATCATACCCACAGATTTTCAAATATTTGAGATAAATAATAGATACAGCTGTAAATAAAGTATGTATGACCCTAAATTATATCAATAGGGACATGGAATTCAAAAGAAAAAGTCAGTACTAAATAGATATAAATCACTGGTTTTTCTACAGGGAGAACAGTGTACAGTTTTAGGTTCCTAGCTTTGGGAAGTATACCAAGGGCTAATGGACAAAGTACGTAAGGATCCACTAGGATCATACTGAATACCAGCTTTTGGCTAGGAGGAGAAATTAAATGCAGTGGTATCATTTTTAGAAGAAATTTAAGGAAATTTGACAAAAATAATTAAAATTACAAAGGGTTTGATAAAGTAAATCGCAAAAATTGTCATGGTGACTGAGTAACTAAATAGAAGCCATAAATGTAAGATCATTGCTAAAAGAGGAACAAGTGAAATTAGTGAATTTACTTATATGTAAAATGTAGAGCATATGTAACGCTACATCAGAAGTTTAAATAGGAGAAAATCCACAGTAGATTTTAAAAGAAAAATGAATATAATTTTTTTTAATTTAGAAAGCACTTGAAGGAGAAAGGGAAAGGGCTAAGGAATAAGATTAAATGCATGACATTTTAACAGTTGGTACAGAGGCAATGAGTTAAATTGGGCTGTAAAACTGTTTTTCTTCTACTCTTTCCATCACTCCAGAGTTCCAGGTATTCCATTGCCTCTATTATCACTTGACTTTTCTTACTGTCTTGCTTTTGATCAGTTACCCAATATTTCCAAGAAGTGATATTCTCAACAACTTTCCATACAGTTCCCACAGTATGTTATTAGTGGAGGGCAGGAAGGGTGGGGTGAGACTGGAGTATTATAGATCAGATTCACTGACATCTTCCCTGCTCCCCAACATGTCAGTCAAACCCCCTTGTTTGTAATTCAAATTTGCCCTCCTGCTGAGTGGGATTCTGACTGAAACACAAGTCCTTCAAGATTCACCATATTCCCAGCTTTACATCGCAAACTTATAGGCAGAAAATTAAACATAGTGGGTATCTCATTATGGGCATTTTATAGGTGGGATAATCGTCATTCCATCTATACATACAATATATATACACATTTGTCAACCTGTGTGTCCAAATAATGAATGCACCTTCTATGGCTCTCAAGTCCTGAAGTAGGAGTCAAACACATACCTTCTGACTCAGAGATAGGTTTCACATTACATGTGTGCACTATTATTATACTGCATAGACTGACAACACCGAACAAGGAAAATTTCACCTGACACATTAATGGTACCCAGGATAGGTTAAAATATTATAAACACCACAACAATGAATTAAATAAAATGCTTGTCAAGACTTTATTTTCACTTAACAATTTGCAAAATTGTTGCAATTAAATACAGAACTAATAGTGCAATCCATAAATGTATGCATTTGTTTTTATAGTGTTAACTACAGATGCTCCCCCCTACTCCCTATAAATGACAAGGAGTGTAAGTCATATAGGCCAGAAGTTCGATAATTTGCACAGTGTTCACTCAATTCAGCCAGGACAACAATAGAGGTTCGATATAATTAGTCTCAGTGCTCCTGGACTTAGAGCAGAACAATTATTTAGGTCTCTTAGTGATTATGCTAATAATGCTGCAAGTCTGGATGAGGGCAGGATTAGATTTTATTACTTAAAGACAGGTCCAGATAGTTCTATATTGTTCGCCACCTGAAGGAATCCAGTGACACCTCTAAAGATCCCAGATAAAGAATAGCCACCTGATGTGAGGATTGGAACCATTTCTAACAAGAGCCTAGTGTGGGGAGAGGGGCAAAATTTGGGAAAAACAAAACAATTCTGTCCTACGTTACAATCTACTAAATATCATTTCAACCTATTTCCTAACATAAAGTGTATTATGTTTAAAAACATCGAGGTTGATTTTCACAGCACTGCTGGTTACTTGGCTCAGCTTTGTTATAAAGCAAATGGTATTGTCCACATGTACTCCTGTATATCAACCTTCCAACATGATGCTGGCAATGGTCTTAAAGGGAAGCTGCACTCTTGTGGGGAAGCCCGTTCTTTCACTTACTCACTCTTTGTGTGAGAGTGAGATTTTTGTCTCCTCCACCAATCTATTCCAGTTTGTGTACACTTTTCATTTCCCACTGAAAGTGTGTGTGTGTGTGTGTGTGTGTGGGGGGGGGGGGGGGGCAGTGGTTGGGACAGACACAAGAGAATGAGAAAAGCCATCTAAGTCTATTAACTTTTCACTACTGATTTGCATGCTACTTTTAGATATTTCACACATAAAGACCACTACCAAATCTCACGGTCAACTTTTAAGATAGACAAATGTGCCAGTTGAACAATGAAGTTCACACTAAATTAAGATAGCAAGGTGGGGGCACAAAGCTCATTTTAACTCCAGCTCACCCATCTCAGTCTGAGAGAGTCTCAAATTCTCTTGAATGTACCCCATCACAATTACTAACCTATGTACATCAAAGCATAAACCTGAATTAAATTCAGGAGGGTGTCTGCAAAGAATTGGCACAAGTGTCTACAATCTCACTACCAAAAATGAATGTTTGCATCTTGTTCAACTTAGTATAAAAGAATAGTGACACAACATTCCATTGATACATTTCACACTACAGTCTGGGTTGTATGTTTGAACATCTACGTTAACTGCCATAAAATAAGACATTCAGCAATGACAATTACCAAAGTTCATGGAGGTATCAGAATCACTTTGTGAACATACACTTTGTGAAGAAGTTTGGTTTGATATTATCCAAAAGAGAACTCAACAGCACCTCTCACAGTTCAATGTCCAGGTGCTACATATTTGGATTTCGTTTGAGCCAAATCCTATTTCCATGCTTCACTGCTTCTCTAGATCACTGGGAGGTGGACTGGGAAGAATGTCATTCATCACTGCCCTTCTCTGCTGCAACTTTAACTGGAGCTCACGACTGACAGCTGCTGGAGAAATTGTAAGATGTGTTAGCTATAAACATACAAGCATAGTTCAGCAAATATTTCTCTCCTTTCCTGAAGATGAGAGCTCACACTGGGACAGATACCAGCCATCAGCACCATTTCACTCCTTTGGGCCATTCTACATGGTTAATGCTACATTGTCAGTATAGGTTACAATTAAGCCTTCTCTTCCTATCCAAAAATTCAACCCCATGTATACTTTACCAAGGCTTTCAGGAGAGGTTTGTGACTGTTTCTTTCTCCACTTGCCCGTGGGTTTCAGTGGACCTTGGGCCAAAGTTACGAACAATGATGAGGTCAAAACATCATGGAAATTAATGTTGATAAGAGACCAATTTTACTTTCCCTAATTGCACACTTACTGAGATTAGCTAATGGAACAGAGACAAGTAACCAATGCCGATTGTGTGATCACCATGGCTCATTGTCACATTAGGTAGTTTTTTTTGAATGATGGGTGGTGCAGTGGATTAGGAGCTTCCAAATAGTTAAAAAAAAACGTATGCCATTTCATTACATTTAAACAAATTAGGAGATACCCCATCTAGCCTACACACAACAGGGCAGATTAATGTGGCAAATCCATCTAATCTGCACATCTTTGGACTGTGTGAGGAAACCGGAGCACCTGGAGGAAATCCACACAGACACAGGGAGAATGTGCAAACTCTACGCAGTTACCCAAGGCTGGAATCAAACCCAAGTCCCTGGCATAGTGAGGCAGTAGTGCTTACCATTGAGTCACTGTGCTGCCCCAAAATGGGGTTGGAGTATAAGAGTAGGGAAGTCTTACTGCAATTGTACAAGATGTTGGAGAGACTACATCTGGCGTACTGTGAGCAGTTTTGGACCCCTTATTCAAGGAAAGATAAAATTTAATTGGAGGCAATTCATAGAAGGTTCACAAAGATGATCCCTGGTATGGAAGGACTGTCTTATGAGCACAGGCATGTTGAAACTCTACTCACTGGAGTTTAGAAGAATGAGAGGTGATCTCATTGAAACATACAGGATTTTTAATGGACTTGACAGGGTAAATGCTGAGAGGATGTTACCCTCATGGGGAGAGTCTAGGACCAGAAGGCAAAGTCTCAGAATAAAGGGGCACCAATTTAAGGCTGAGATAAGGAAGAATTTCTTCTCTCAGAGGGTCATTGTGTATATTTAAGGCTGACATAGATAGCTTCTTCATCAATACATGAATTATTCAATCGTTCATCAGCAGTCCCTCGCAGATGAGGATGACCCTCTTCCACTGTCAGGGTGAGTCCTTAGATCTCTGTACTGATCAATGCAGCTACTGCAGGCTCTGTTACACTTGGGGCAGGTGTTGGTCATGGAAAGGGCTGGGTGGAATGTTGGTGTGGTAGTACGCTCCTTATGTTGTTTTTGCCTGGCTTCCACTTTTTCCCATCGGCAAGTCTAGAGATGCCTTCCCGGATGCTCCTCCTACACTCTGGACAGTGTTGGGCCAGCAATTCCCAGGTGTCAGTGGGAATAACGCTCTTCACCAATGAGGCCTTGAGGGTATCACTGAAGGGTGGAATGGATAGGATAGTGGACATGAGGAATGTCAGATCAGCCGTGATCCTACACGCACATCCCTGAACACTATGGGGCAATTTAGCATGGCCAATCCACCCAACCTGCACATCTTTGGACTGTGGGAGGAAACCGGAGCACCCGGAGGAAACCCACGCAGACACGGGGAGAATGTGCAAACGCCACACAGACAGTCGCCTGAGGGTGGAATTGAACCCGGGTCCCTGGCACTGTGAGGCGGCAGTGCTAACCACTGAGCCACCGTGCCGCCCTCTTGAAAGGCGAAGCTGGCTCGAAGGGCTGAACAGCCTACTCATGTTCTTATTTCTTACCGTCCTATAAGACTGTTGGAAGTTTCAATGAGGTCATTGTACATTCTTCAAAACTCTAAAGAATACATGCCTAGTATCCTCAATCTTTCCTTATAAGCCAATCCTGCCATCCCAGTGATTAAACTGTTGAACCTCTGCTTCACACTGTGCACAGCAAGTATATCCCTCTGAGAAATGAAAACAAAGACTATCCACAATACACCAGGAGAGGGCTCCCCAAGGCTCTATGTAACTGCAGTGAGGCACCCTAACTGCTGTACTCAAATATCTCAACAGAAAAGTTACAATAACTCCATTGATTCATTTTACTCGCTAGAAAATCCTATGAAATTTGTTGATTGCATTCCAAATTGCACCATGAAAATCTCCTGGTGAGTGAAACTTCTCTATAATTAGACAAGGTACACAATTTGATGATTACACTGAAAAATAATGTTCACATGTTTTAACCACTTTCTCTACCTACATAGTGTTAATCTAGGGAGAGTACTCCAGCTGGAAGGCTTTGTCTGTGTCTCTGATTTTGAACGTGGTGGCTTTAGTGCATCCTTGGATAAAGCTGCAAAAGGCAGAAATGAGATGTTAAAGAAGACTGCAGTGCCATGAGTCTACATTTTGAACATTTCATTAAAATAAAACCAAACTATTTTAATCCCATTTAACTAAAAGTGTTTAAGTATATTTATTAGTTTTAATTGTGAACAGAGCACTAAATATTCATAGTTAGAGACAAAAAACTGCAGATGCTAGAGTCCGAGGTAGACAAACAGGAGGTTTTAAAGAACACAGCAAGCCAGGCAGCATCTGGAGGAAAGGAGAAGTCAACATTTTGGGTATTACCCTTCTTCAGGACTTGAGTCTCCTGTCTGACTAAATATTCATAGTTTCCATATGTTCCCTTAATTCTGATGGATATTTTTGTTGTGGGAAGTGAAGGGTGGGGAGTCCTAATCTTCCCATCTGAGAGGCCAGAGGATGTAAAGGTTTGAGAGCTAGTGCCTTGCTCTATATTTTAAACATTTGATTGAGGGACCACAGCTCAATCAATTTCTTATTGTCAAGACTGCTACAACATGGGGGATTGTGACATGGCTCTGCAACAGCAAATCCCTACAGACCATGCCGTTGTTAAACTTGAAAGAGTTCAGAACATATTTACAAGGATGTTGACAGGGTTGTAGGGTTTGAGCTCGAGGGAGAGGCTAAATAGGATGGGGCTATTTTCCCTGGACCGTCAGAGGCTTGGGGGGGGTGACCTTATAGAGGGGCGTGGATAGGGTGAATAGTCAAGGTCTTTTCCCCAGGGTAGGGGACTCCAAAACTAGACGACATGGGGTGGGGTGGGCGGGGGGAGCGGTGAGAGAGGAAAGATTTAAAGGGGACCTAAGGGGCAGCTTTTTCACGCAGAGGGTGGTGTGTGTATGGAATGAACTTCCAGAGGAAGTGGTGGACCATAAGACCATAAGACATAGAAGCAGAAATTAAGCCATTCAGCCCATTGAGTCTGCTTCGCCATTCAATCATTGCTGATAAGTTTCTCAACCCCATTCTCCCGCTTTCTTCCCATAACCTTTGATCCCCTTGACAATTAAGAACCTATCTAACTCTGTCTTAAATATATTCAATGACCTGGCCTCCACAGCCTCCTGTGGCAATGAATTCCATAGATTCACCATAGATTCTCTGGCCGAAGAAGTTTCTCCTTATCTCCATTCTAAAGGGTCTTCCCTTTAATCTAAGGCTATGTCCTCAGGTCCTAGTCTCTCCTACCAATGGAAACATCTTCCCAATGTCCACTGTGTCCAGGTTGTTCAGTATTCTGTAAGTTTCAACTAGATCCCCCCCTCGTCCTTCTAAACTCCATCGAGTATAGACTCAGTCCTCAAATGCTCCTCATATGTAAAGGCTTTCATTCCTGGGATTATTCTTGCGAACTTCCTCTGGATCTGCTCCTGGGCCAATACATACTGAGGTATGAGGCCCAAAATTGCTCACAATATTCTAAATGTGTTCTGAGGAGAGCTTACGAAGCCTCAGATGTGCATCCCTGCTTTTATATTCTAGTCCTCTTGAAATATATGCCAACATTGTATTTGCCTTCCTAAATACCGACCCAACGTGCAAGTTTACCTTAAGAGGATCCTGGACTAGGACTCTCATGTCCTTTTGCACTTCAGATTTCTGAATTTTCTCCCCATTTAGAAAATACCCTATGCCTCTATTCTTCCTACCAAAGTGCACGACCTCACATTTCCCCACGTGTATTCCACTGATGGACAATTACAACATTTAAAAGGCATCTGGATGGATATATGAATAAGAAGGGTTTAGAGGGATAGTGCCAAATGCTGGCAAATGGGACTTGATTAATTTCGAAAATCTGGTTGGCACGGATTGGTTAGACCAAAGGGTGCATTCTCTATGACCATGAGCTGCTAGCTTTCAAATCATACCACTGTTGCAACTGAACAGAAGCCTGACATTTCTGCACAAGGTGAAAATTCATTTATAAAACATAAAGGTCTATTAAACACAATTTATTCAGACACCATACAGAAGTTGGGATAATCCTATCTCCTCATATGCAACTTAGTGCTTTTAGGAGAGGGCAAGACAGAGAGGATAAACAGCACTGAATCCAATATCAAACAATGGGCAGGCTGGGAAAGAGCCTCTCAGGCAGGCGTGGTACTAAGCCCAACAAGGTTTGCAGCTCAGCACCACTCACTGTATTCCAGGCACATCTGCCCCAGATGGAGATCAATATTTCATTCCTATTTCAAATGTAAGGTTTTTTTAAAACAACTTACTTTGTACTTTGCCATGATTCAGCTTCTCAGTTTCTGAGGAAAGAAAAGATGTTATACATTCAAATCAAAAATTAGAAGGGACTTACAACACAAGCCTTCCAGTTGTAGAAACATACAACACAGGAAGAGGCCATTTGGCCCAATATAAAGCCTGGTTACTGACCTTCCTTCAGAATGAACGGCTTCTCTCAATCTAATGCATCAAAACCCTTTTATAATTTTGAAAACTTCTGTTCAATCATTGCATAACCTTCCGTGTTCAAAAAGAAAAAATCCTGGCTTCCCTTGCTGTCCACATAACTGAAGTCCCTCATCCCCGAAACCAATCTGATAAATCTTCTGTGTGCCTTGTTCAAAGCTATGAAATGTGTCCTAAAGTGTGGTGCCCAGAGCTGGACACAATATTGCAGGTGAGGACTAAATATTGATTTATAAAGACTAACCATAAATTCTTTGCTTTCATAACTAATACCTCTATTTATCATATGGGGTGGTATTGCTCAGTTGGCTGGACAGCTGGTCTGTGATGCAGAGTGACACCAACAGCGTGTGTTCAGTTCCCACATTGGCTGAGGTCACCATGAAGGAATTCCCTTCTCAATCACTGACCTCGCCTGTAGTGTGATGATCCTCACATTAAACAACCACCAGTCGTCTCTCTCTAACGAGAAAGGAGCCCTACGGTCTGGTAAGACTATGGTGACTTTACCTTTATATCATGCCAAGGTTCCCATTGCGTTTTCAAGCTCGTCATTGCCAAATTCAAAGATCTGTGATTCCCTGTGTCCCAAACCCACATTAAAGTCAAACCCCTCATTTTATAGTAGCTGTCTTCATTTTTCCTCTCAAATTGTATCATTTCATATTTCTTTGCACTTCACAAGCTCCACATCTGCCCATTTCACCCATAATACCACCCATTAGAGTCATGTCATACTCATAGCTTGGTAGTCATGACAACAGTCAACCTGCAGGCAGGTTTAAGTTAGTTTTAGCCTATTGTATCATTCCTGCCAGACAAACAATGGAATCCAAGATTATCTTGGTTTGCCTAGTACAGCAATTTACTGGATACACACTTCCCAAAGCAAGTAAAGTGAGAGGAACTTGGAGCTGCTGTACGAATTATTTATTTGAAATTGGGACTAACTTAATAACTTCTCTTCTGTCTCTTACAACAACTCCAGTTATTCACTTTACTTGCTAGAAAATCCTATGAAGTTTGATTTGATTTGACTTATTAGAGTCACCTAGGTACAGTGAAAAAGTTTTGCTTTGCCTGCAGTACAGGCAGATCATACCATACAAAGTGCATTAAGGTAATAGAACAGAGTGAGGAATACAATGTTACAGCTGCAGCTCACAAAGAGTGAGGTCAACTTTAAATTCGAGATTTGAGAAGTGCATTTAGAAGTCTAATAAGAGTGGGGATTCTCAACTTGCACAATGTACAAAAACAAAGTTGCTGGAAAAGCTCAGCTGGTCTGGCAGCATCTGTGAAGGCAAAAACAGAGTTAACATTTTGGGTCCGGTGACACTTCCTCGGTGCGTTCCTTGATAAGTGAAAAGGTTTAACCTGAGGGTCACCACACCTCAGGCGAGGGCAGAGGCTGAGAACGGCAGTCCTTAGTGATGACCTCAGCCAGCAGAGGAATTAAACTCACACTGTTGATGTCACTCAGCATCACAAACCAGCTCTCCAGCTACTTAGCTACAATTCGACATGGTTCACAATTTGATAACTGCATTGAAAAACAATTTTGAACTATTTTAACCATTTTCTCTATCTACCTGATGTTAATGCAAGGTGAGTACTGAAACAGCAAGGGTCTGCCTGTGTCTGAGGTTTTCGATGGGGTGGCATCAGTGCCTCCTTGGGTAGTTCTGCAAAAGACAGAAAAGAAATGTTAAAGAGGACTGCTGTACCATGTAGAAATGTCTACTATTGTAAACCAGTATATGTTATACCACAGTAACTATTTATTTAATAGTTGGGCTATTAAACAACATGAGCCTATCTGTGGCTCTTAATTATTTAAACATGGACATATTGGCCCTTTTAATCGAATGTTGTAAGATGCAGAATGTAACAAATGTCCAGTTTTAGCCACAGGAAGAGCCTCAACTCACCTTCACAAAGATTTGGATGGAGCAGAATTCCAACATTCAGTTCACTGAGCAGTGGTGGTAAAACTTCAGTGATGGCAGCCATAAAACTAAAATTTAGTTATTTATTTCACAGTCAAATTCTCCTGGGTCAGTGGTTTTCAAAATGTTGTCCATGGGAGTCATCCGGGTTAAATGCAGGCTGGTCCAAAACATCAGTCACTGATGCATTACAACATGGCCAAGGACTTTTGAGAAAACAGGCCAGAACCCTTGTCCTTATCTCTTGTATAACATTACACATTCAGACTGGCTCTCGTATACACGGCACAAGTGATCGTAAACTCAAGCAGGAATGTTGCAGTTTTATCTGGAATATTTACTGTTGATTTTGTTTGTTTAATACAGGTGTAAGATAAATAATATTTTCTCAGAAGGTTGGGATGATTTAAAATGTACATTAGAATGTTTCAAATGTTCTCTTGTAGGTTCAATGTTTCTAATATGGAAAGATCCAAAGCTTTGCATGTGGCAAGAAGTAATAACTTACTTATTCTGTTTAAAGTCATTGAGATCTATAGCACAGAAAAAGGCCCTTCAGCCCATCTAGTCTGCATCAGTCAAAAACAATCACCTAACTATTCTAATCCCATTTAACTGAAAGTAAATTAGATACATATTTATTATGGTTAATTGAGAATAAATTGCATATAGATGCTTATAGATTCCTTATGTTCTCATTAACTCTGATGGATATTTTTGCTGTGGGACGGAAAAGTGGGTGCAGAGTCTTTTTATTCCGCATCTGAGAGGTCAATGGATGTAAAGGTTTAAGAGCTAATGCTTTGCATTTTAAACTTTTGATTGAGAGGTCACAACTCAAAGAATTTCTGGTGAAAGGTTTATTGTCAAGACTGCTGCAATATGGAGGATTGTGGCATGGGTCTGCAACAGCAAATTCCTGCAGACCATAAGCTGCTAGCTTTCAAATCATAACACTGTTGCAGCTGAACAGAAGCCAGATATTTCTGCACAAGGTGAAAATTCATTTATAAAACAAAGGTTTATTAAACACAAATTTATTCATACATTCTACAGAAGGATAATTCTGTCTCCTTATATGCAACTTAGTGCTTTAAGGAGAGGGCAAGGCAGGGAGGATAAACAGCACTGAATCCAATATCAAATAATGGGCAGGGTGAGAATGAACTTCTCAGGCAGATGTGGTACTAAGCCCAACGAGGTTTGCAACTCAGCTCCATTCATTGTAGTCCAGGCACATCTGCCCCAGATGGATTATTCCTATTTCAATTGTAAGAATTTTTTCAAACAACTTACTTTGTTCTTTGACTTGATTCAGTTTATCAATTTCTGGAAAGAAAAGATATTATATTTTCAAATCAAGAAATGAAAAGGGACATACAACACAAGCCCTCTAGGTCATAGAGTCATATAACACGTAAACAGTATACACCACAGGAAGAGGCCATTTGGCCCATTATAAAGCCTGGTTACTGATCCTCTTTCAGAATGAACAGCTTTTCTAAATCTAATGTACCAAAACATCTTATAATTTTGTACACCTCTGTTGAATCATTGCATTACTTTCTCTGTTCAAAGAGGAAATGTCCAGGTTTCCCTTGCCTTTCCATTTACTGAAGGCCCCCATCCCCAAAACCAATCCGATAAATCTTCTGTGTGCCTTGTTCAAAGCTATGAAATGTGTCCTAAAGTGTAGTATCCAGATCTGGACACAATTTTCCAGCTGAGGCCTAAACATTGATTTATAAAGACAAACTATAACTTCTTTGCTTTTGTTATTAATGCCTCTGTTTTTAAGCCAACAGTACCTCTCCTTTTTCAATGTTGTTTTAATCTCATCATGCCAAATTCCAGGCTCTGATTCCCCAGATCTTTCTGTCCCAATTTTAATGTTCACATTAAAGTTGCACTTCTTATTTTGTAATGCCTATCCAAATTTTTACTCTAAACACTTATCACTTCACATTTCTTTGCATTAAATATCATGAGGTCCAGGTCTGCCCAATTCACCCATAGTAGGAATACTATCCACTATAGCCATGTCATACTCCTAGCTGGATAGTCACTATGCACCACTCAAGTCTGAGTTAGATTTGTGCAATGACGCCATACTGATTAGGGCATGGTTCAAGACTGCCCTAAATTTGTCAGTAAACTCTTTAAACACTTTTAGCCTGTTGTCAAAGTTTTACTGAACTGCCTGCCAGCATGCCAAAACTTTTACTAAATTATAACAGAGTGCTTCTCAAGTCGGGTAATACTGTTGATTAGAATTGTAAAAGGAATAGTCACCACAGGCCTGCTGTCTCATTAGAGATAGTGAGTTTAACCCGAGCATCACCATGCCAAAGAGGAAGGGCGAGGTTGAGAAGCTGTGACCTTCATGCTAACCTCAGTCCATGTGGGAATTGAACCCACACTGTTTGCATCGCAAATCAGCAATCCAGCCAACTGTATCTATCTACTCACAATCCACCCATTATTTGAATGTTTCTTCACACAAAAGTTAGAAGTGAAGGGAGTGTCCACATGATGGAGCTCTGAGCACTCATTATGCGTCAAACTGGGACTAGTAATGTAAGAAATAGGAACAGGACTAGGCCCATTAATTTGCTGCACTATTCAAAAAGATCATAATTGACCTGACTGTGGCCTTAACTCCTTTCTTGTCCCTCCCATGGGCAATAAATATTGGCCTAGCTGGTGACACCGACTTCAGATGAAATGAATAAACTCCTTTCCTGTCCCTCTCTCTGGGAGACCTCGATTTTTAAATTGTTCCCCACTTTTGGATTCCACAATGAAAGGTAATATCTTCCCAGTATCTAATTGTAAACCTAACCATCCTAGAATCTTAGGAGTGTCAATAAGATCACCTCTCATTTGTCTAAAATCCAATGAGTGTAGGTTCGGCTTGTTCAGTCTTTCCTCATCAGATAATCCCAGGAATCAAACCAGTGAGCCTCCTCTGAACTGTACCCAAAACAAGTATCCATCCATCTTAAGACAGGAGACTAAAACTGTAGACAGTAATCCAACTGTAGTCTTACCAATACCCTGTACAGTTGGAGCAAGAGTTATCTAATTTTATGTTCCAACTCTCTTGCAATAAAGGTCAACAATCCATTTGCTTCTTAATTTTATGCTGTACCTGCTAGCCAAGTCTTTATGATTCATACACCCGATCTCTCCATATGGCAACATACTCTGGTTTCTCTCCAGTTAAGTAATATTCTGCTTTTCTTGTTTTCTGGACAAAGTGGGCAACTTCACATTTTTCTCATAGATTACTTCATCTGCCATTTTTCAGTCCACTCTCTTAACGTATCCATATTCCCTTGCAGTCTCTGGATCCTCCTTGCAGCTTGCTTTCCTACCTATATTTATATCAACAAATTTGTCCACAATGCAATCCATCCTTTCGCCTATACTGTTAATATATTTTGTAAATTGTTGGAAACTCAGCACTGGTCCCTGTGGTACTCCACTCATTACAACTTGCTAACCAGAAAATTATTCAGATTCTTGTGTTTCCTGGTACTTAGCCAATCCTCTATCCATGTTCATTTATTAGCCCCAACACCATAATCTCTTATTGCATGCAGTAACTTTTTAGGTAGCATCTCATTGAATGCCATTTGGAAATTCAAGTACTGGCCTCATTTCCAACATCTGGCACTCTCAGGACCAAGAGACTGCTCTGGATTTGGGATGTTCCTGGATTCTGGATAGCCCACTGGAGGAAGAGGAAGTTTGTGAATATGACTGAGTCCCTTCTAGCATCTCAGTGTAGAATTGTTTACATAGAGGTTACTGTTCAAAGGATGTGATCATCTAATTCATTCTAATCACTAAAACCCAGTTGTGTCAAATGCTAAACATTTGCCTTAGTGAGGAGATCCTTCACTCAAATTAGAAACACAACTAGCTGCAGAGGCTACAATTTAACAGCACAAACCAGCTGAGTGAGAACATCTCCAGTTCTTGAATCATTTTATTGGGGCACTGCAAACCTTTCCATTACTGCAGTTTATAGAGACCTCCACATTACATTAAATTGGAACATTTAGAGAAATGTGCTGATGCACTGTCAGGTACTTCATCAAGTAGACTTTTTTGTAATGTAAAGACTATTAGCATAAACCTTTTACTTTCTCATGAAGTGAAAATTTTACAATCGGATACTTGTTTCACACTAGATGAAACATTTAGTTCCTCCCTCTTGATGCATGTATACTATAAGGCACTGATACTAGGAGAGTGAACATTGGTTGAAGTTAAATCTATCATTCCTATAGCAACAACCTTCTGAGGTCTAATGACTCAGCAGAGACTAAGAACTGAACGTAGGTTTATTTACTGATTGTCTTCACTAACTGAATCACTGACAGGTCTCTTCAGTGTCCAACTCTTCCTGATTTTGTCCTCTGGCTTCAATGCAAAATTGGTCTCTTCATTCCCACACTTACCCTATTCCAGGAGTGGTACCCAGATTATCTGAGCGAATGAAATTCACTTTTGGACAAACAGATTTTGGATAATGTACTTCTAAACTAAATTGACTGATGCTCCTTCATCTGCTTTGCTAGTTAAATTTACAAGAACTATAAATTTTTTTATCAAATGCTATTTTCCTACAAACCATATTTACGCTACTTGATTGTTTTAAATGCCTCAGTAAGCCTCCATAATAATGGATTCTAGCATTTTCCCATTGACCAATATTAGACGAACAGGCCTACAATTTCATGCTTCCTGTCCTTCCTTTTCTGAATACAAATACTACATAAGGGGTTTTCTAACCTGCTGGGATCTTTCCAGCATCTAGGAAATTTCAGAAGTTTACAACAAAAGTATTCATTATCCCTATAGCCACTTTCTTTCGGAACCTACAATGCAGACCATCAGTTGCAGGGTTCTGATCAGCCATTAATCCCAGGAGTTTTCTCACTAATTTTTCTCTCTCGTAATTTTGGCTGTTTTAATTTCCTCCCTCCCTTCTGCCTATTGATTCTGGAATGTTTTCTGTGTTTTCTACTGTGAACAACACACAAAATTCTTTTTAGGAAAGGTTTAGAGGGATATGTGCCAAATGCGGGCAAATGGGACTACTTCAGTTTAGGGTACCTGGTCAGCATTGACAAGTTGGACCAAAGGGTCTGTTTCTATGCTTTATAACTCTAATTCTACTGTTTCACATTATTGACTCCTCAGTCACACCTTCTGAGGGACCAGCATTTACTTAAGTGTCTCTCTTTCGTTTTATGTACTTGTAGAACTTTTAACTGTCTGTTTTCATATTTATTTGCTAGTTCTATCTCAATCCAATTTATATCTTTCGTTAATCGTCCTTTTCTCATTTCAAATTTTTTCCAAAATGTCTGAGCTACCTCCACCTTTGCAGCTTTGTACACCAGTTTTTCAATTTAATACATTCCTAACATCTTTAGTTAGCCACAGATGGCACATCCTTTTCATAGTGTTTCTCTGAGTGGGATATATTTTTGTTAAGAGTTATGAAATATCTACTAAAACGTCTGCTAATACTTCTCCACCTTGTTACCTTATCAATTTTTCCATTCCATAACTCAGTCTTCATATTGTCTTTATAATTGCCTTTATTTAAGTTTAAATCACTAGTTCAGACCCAAATTACTTACCCTCAAATTGAATGTGAAAGTCTAACATGTTAAGATCACTCTTACCTGTAGTATCCTTTACTATGAGGGCACTAATTAGCAATTTCACTATTAGCCAAATTTTTAATTATAATTACAGTTTCTGAACAGATATAAACTGTAAAATGAATTCTAGGCAAGAAGTTAACAAAAGAATAGTGGTTGCACCATGAACACTTTAATTTATATAATGGATAAGCACAGTGCTACCTTGGGACTAAAGCTTGGATGTCCTGGAATTAAAAATATTGGCTGTGCATTTATAAACTAGACAGGCCAGTTCCTAGTGCTGCCCTCCAGTTAATGTTTGGTAATTAAATACAAGAGTCTGCACACTTTTCCAATTCTGCTTTTAAAAATCGGCATGCACATTATAGTCAAACTGTACTCCTAAACAATGCTGCCCAGCAAGCCAGCCTGTTGCATTCCTACATCGAAATTAACAATGCAAATTTCCTAAGCTGTACAGGAATTTATAATTGGAGACAGTGGGGGAAAAGTAGAGTCTTGCTGTATGGTACAAGCTACTACAACTAATGTACACAGTGGTCATACTGGGCTCGTACGAGGAGGATAAGAAAGTAATGAAGATGCTGTCAATGTTGTGAAATTCCAGCATTACTCAATATCACATGAACATTGGAGAATATA